CATAAGCCCGTCCACACTCGACTCTACACGTGAGACTGTAACTACGGACGAGCCTTTGCCCGACCTCGTCACCATCCCAGAAGAAAACCTAAAAGAGAGAGATTCGTTCAAGCCTGCAAAGTTTCTCACAATTAACCTTCCTCACATGCTGAGAGAGGGCCGCAGTTTTAATATCCACGCTGACGAGATAATAAGGGATGATGTGTCTTCTTCAGTGTTGGATAATGGCACCGGTATCGACATTAACGTGAATACCACTAGTTTATTTGATTTTCTACATGCAGCTACAAATGTTTCAGTAGAGTCAGACTTGCTTACGTCAGCAGCCACAGCCCAGACACCACATATGTCTCTTACCACGCTGGCTCAGCCTGATGAAGAGTACCAGGAGCTCAACACAACCAGTAGGAATGAACAACAGCAAAAGGCGAAAAAACTGCAGTGGATTTGGTAGGATTAGATTTATTTATTTAGTTAAGTCAAATTATTCTTCAAGTAATATATCTTAATTACTTTAAGGCCTATTTTACTCCTTTTCCTTTTAAACCCAACTGGTACCACATACATCTGTTTGCAGTCATGAAAGGTGACGCAGTGGTCAGTGAAGGCTGATTATACAGTGCAAGCAGAATTACCGTCAGACCTCTGCCAGCTATTGCCTCAGGGTGGACATTATCCAGACTCAGACAAAGGCAGGCGTTAAATAAACACGTCTCTTTCCGAGCAGCAAAACAGGCTGATGAAGAGAAGACCTCGTGTTAGCTGATGCCACCTTTCAGAGCAACTTGAACTCAAATCACAGAAAGTCATAGTGAAAGCTCACAGATTGCTTGTCAGCGGTCATTCTAAGATTCTTGGATGTTAGAATCAATTTTATGTGTTAAAAACTTTTTTCTTTTCAACAACAGATCAAATTTAGCTTCTGATTTACTGTAATGTCAGCTGTAGCTGTCACTCCCCTCATTGCAGTACGCTAAACCAACAGCAGAGGGCACTCTCCAACATGTTTTCAGTAGACTCCTGATGGGTCACAGCCTGCCTCCAGATGCTCTTTTCCAAATTAAGCAGTTTGACTTTTTTAAAATAATTTTTTAAAAAGGTGAACCTAGATTCAGTGCTAGTTGTTTTTGTGTGTGTGCACAATTAAATGAACTTTATTCATCATAAGATAACTCTTGAAAATCCAATATGCAGTATAGCGGGGGGGTTAAATTTATTCACTTGAGTGCTTTAAATGTAACACCCATACAGAATTACTGGTATAGATCAAAATAGCTGAAGAGGTTTTGTTTTTGTCCCACTGCTTTTTTTTTTTCCACCTTTGTTATTGTGACCTCCCGGTATGCACCAAAGCGTCTCTAAATGATAACCGTGCGGTGTTGCGCAGTTACATGCATCATATACAACGGTCTGTGGGGCAGAAAATCTAAACTTCCTTGTGCCTTTGGTTCCCATCTGCTCAGTGAACTTATGAGCAGGAAATGGAATAAGTGGTGCAAAAAGCATGCCAACATCCCCGGTTCTTTCATGTGGCCTCTCTCGGCCATTAGCCTATCTGTATCGACTGTTAACTGTCTTTACAAAGTTAAAAATCCCTTTCATGTTTCACTGTTTCTTTTTTGTTTTAATTTCAGTCAGAGCATATGGTTTGCACATCTGGGATATGCTAAGCGTGGTGGCACCCCCCCCCCCCCCCCCAACACACACACATATACACACGAACACACACACACAGACTCTGTGAAGTGATCCATATATGGTCTTCATTGTTATTGCTCATAATCACTCATCATTATTATAAACAAGTTCTGTCATGATTGGTCGCTTTGAGTTTGCTGTCTGAAGATGCTTAATAGTGTGAACTTTCAGGATAAAAACAAAACATGTGACTAAAGTAGGCGAAACTTTCCCTCATTTAATACAGAAGTGTGAAACCTTACAGAGACATGTCACGGGGTCTGGTCATGCAACTAAATTTACCATCTCTGACTATTCTGAGTCTCCTTGCATGACCGCTTGTCCACAATTTTTTTAAGCAAGACACATGCTGTGGAGCAAATTCTTTATTTCTCCTTATTTGAGCCACAAAAATGACATTTTTCTACTTCAGACCTTTAAAAGTGGGCCAGCAAGAAGATTGTGCAGCTTGTTCTGCATGACCACAAACAAGCAAACAGATGAGGGAATGTGATCGGTCTCATCCCACTGCAGAACAACCACATTTTAATCCTGCATAATAGAGCGAAAGTGGTGATCTAATGACATCAAAACGAAGTCAGAATTACTATTGTGAACAACTTTGAGTCATTAAATGCCACTTCAGCATCAGCTACCAGCTCTCAGGCAGACGGAGTTTCGTGCCACTGGAGAGACACGGTGGGGGGAGGCGGGAGGGAGGAAGAGGGGGAGAGGAAGGCTATGTGTGGCTTTGAGTGGTTTGTTGGGCCTCTTCATCTCGCTCAGCGGGTAATTACAGAATCATGGGTCAACCACGCATGCAACCACGGTTACGTTGCACAGTAGCAGATGTGCTCATGACATTATCCAGCACCAGAGCAAAAAGGTAAATAAAAACAGATGCAGCTGGTTGCTACGGACCTTCGCCAAACTTGCGTACACCCCTAATTGTTCCCATGTGGGCCTGCTGAGCTGGAATAGTAAAAGGGGCGGGTATGCCCTGTTTAAAAATGCCCGTGTTTCTCAACAGGAGGAATTTATGAATGGGACAACGAGCCTGTGTGTGGTTCTGGTGGTGCGTGTGTTTATATTGTGTTAATGTGTTCGTCTGGCTTTGGGTTGTGGGGCAAAAATTAACAGTAAAAGTACATCCTTCTCCGCGGAGAGAGCTTTATTCCATGTTCCAGGCCTTCTCTGAGCATCCCCACTTGCTCGAATGCCTCCCGCTTCTTGATGTTTCCTCTGTCAGACCATGCCTGGATGTGAGTGCGTGACACTGCTCAATGTCAGGGAGGTCCCTGGTTGGACATGAGCCAGGTGTGCTGCAGGCCAGATGAAAAACTGAGGAAGAGGCTCGATTTCAGAGAAATCCTCTCTCGGCTCGGATCCGATTCCTGTACTCAGCCTGCAGCGGAGGATAAGACCTGTGTTTGTCGGTGCAGGTACAGGTGTATCTATCTAACCGCGAACGCAGGTTTGCAGTAAGAGCGTTTATATGTTTGGGCGTGGACTTGAAATTCCTGATTCGGAGGCCTGTTTCGATAATTCGATGAGGCCCGTTTGATGTTTCTTCGGTGTTACTCGCTTCTGAGCTGGAATGTGAGCTATCCTCTTTTCACCACAGACACACACCCACACTTACACGTCTTACACTGTGAAAACTGGCTGCCAACCGAGTGTGCCTCCTCTCCCTCTCTCATTAACCGCAACTGTCAGATCCTCCAGATGAGGAGCAATTAAACCAGATAATAAACACTCGCCATCAATTCCTGTTTGTTGATGTTGTTGTTGTTGATGTCGAGCTGGGGGCTCCTCTTCTGCCACCTCGTGCTAACTAGTACTTGAGTAACACACGAGAGCAGCAAGGGAAGAGTCCTTCATAACACCGAAAAGGCCTCTACCTGCTGCGTGTATGGCAACACCGGCCTGATGATGATAATAAAAAAAAAAAAAGACAGTGAATGTTAACAATTAGATCCTAATCAGACACAGCTCACAGAGGCTGCTCTTTTATCCCCAGGCTTCACAGAAAATGCAAACAAAGAGCTGAAAACTGTCAAGATAAAGGACTACTTGGGATTGGTCGTGTCTTACGGCGTCTTAAAGGGCAGTAATCTTGCCGCGCACTGCTTCCTGAGACAACGTGCCGTAAAGACTCCCGTGTTTGCTCTTGTATTGGCGTGATAAGGCCGCTCTTCATCGCACCTTGCTTCTGATGAGGCTCGTCTACCCTGACTGTGAGAAGATGGAAAGTGTTGGATGGGTGTGTGTGGGAAGGGGGGAGTGGGGGTAGAGAGAATAGCCACGGAGGTTTTTTTTTTTTTTTAGATGGTGATTGGCTGATGACATAAAACGCAGCAAACGTTCCAAGTAAAAGGCTTTGACCTGATATTTTTTGGGTAATTAAGGAACATCCTCAAATAAAGAGTTCCCTCGTTGTTGTTGTTTTATGCCGTTGAGATGAGAATCACCGATGGCGGCGTTTGAGCCGGGATTGTTCTAATGAGGTGAACTCTGTCTGACCTGAGGAACAAGGCATAGGTGTATGTTCACTCGTCATTGTTTAGCTTGTGGAAAAAATAGAGCCTAAGATGGTTTTCCACTTAAAATTTGAAGGCTGGATAAAGCCTTCTTAGGAATTTAAAGACAATACCCTTTCTTCCAAAGGCTATAAAAACATGTATACAGCTGTACAAGGAGTTTCCTGACTCAAAGGCAAAATACAGTGTCAGATATTCCTATTACTAATCAGGATGCCGTGGCCATGGAAAAAAAATGTACAAGATGAAACTGTGGCCTGTTCAGACAAAAAAAAAAAAAAGATCTGATTTCCCTTTCTCTGTGGAAAAATGGACGTGGCCTCTTGTTTTGAAACCATATTTCCCTGAAAAACACTTTGAAAACTAAACAAAATTGACAGAGTCGGATTTATTGTCTCGTGCTCTTTTGTCTTCGACCGCCAGTGTTTGTGCCTTTGCCATGGCAACACCAGGGTTATTTATCTTTACAGGCCTTTTACAATAACGTCCCTTTCCTGACCAAACAACAGAGGAAATATCAGGTCAAGCCTCTTCCTCCCTCTAATGATCAGGTCAATTCGGGCTGAGTATTTCAGAGGGCTCGGGCACAGTCGCATGTGCGTCCACACGCGGTCATGCCATTGATGAGAAACATACAGTTTGTGATTGGATTTCCGTCTTCTCGGCTGAGTTTATGTTTTTCTTAAACATGTTTTGTTCTTTAACATTAAAGGAAAAGGGAGGTGATGGCTTTCTATTTATTCCCCGGGCTCAGAAAGTTAGTTCAGCCAGAAACACTAGATGGAGACAGAGAAAACTGACTCCCAGGTTGGATTTTGGACCCTTTTGAGTGTGTTTGAAACACAGCACAAGGCACGTCCACATACAGTTTCCCCCCCAGTCTTCTTGACTTCTTTTGGGCAAATAGTGTATGTTTTACGTATACATTTAACACTTCTCTCTCATGTCAGACACCCCTCCCCTCAGATCCTCTTAGTGCCATATTTTTCCTCTTTGCGTGATAAACCTAATAATCTCTTTTCACACGTAAAATGTGCTCTGTGCAGTCATCTGCAAACATCTTGCAAATCCTTGTGACTTGTATATACTCCAGTATACTTTAGCTGTCGGGGCCTGTCCCCTCTCTTTGCAATTACTCCTTTTAAGGAGCCGCTCTCGTGAAAGTTGCCTAGAGTATATGCAGACTACTTTCCTCAATCCACATAAACAGCACCAATAATAGAAGAAAGTGACAATCTGGATGAGGAGGAATGGGCATAAAAGCAGGAGGTGTGCAGAGAGTGCATGTCACAATTAAATTACTTAATGGGTGAAAGTCCCACGATAGATCACATGTAATTTGCATCAAGAGTCACTGTAATAAAGACTTTTTAAAACTTACATTGAAATTCAATTAGAGTGTTGAATGCATAACCAAAGCCGTGAAAAATGAACTCATTGGGGGTCCCTTTTCATTACTGCCCTGAGGCAAAAGAGACCATTAATTTAATACATTCCATGTTTTTTCACATGAGCATTTTTAAGTTGGTGCACATTTCCATCCTAATGTATCTAATACAAAGAGAGAGCCTGCCAAAGACTGCATTATACAAGAGGCAAAGAACCCCCCCCATCTCCAGTTGTTACCTTGAGTAGTCAGACCACTTTCAATCAGTCAAGCTTGAAAAATGACCTGGCCCTAAAAAAAACAAAACAACAAAAGAAGAAATTATGATATTGTTTTATTGATTCACGGCGTGGTGAATATTCCTGTACCGCAGGTGCCGTCACGCGGAGGTGCCGAGCTCGACTGTAAACAGTTAAACGGCGAGCCTTAATTAAGATATTACTGTTTTATCTTAGAACAGTGGATCTGCACACTTCAGTCAACCACAAAGCCAAAACAAAACAGGGACCCCTTTCAGAAGTTCCACCCTTAAGAGGAGTGCTAATTAAAAGACTATTTCATTAACTGTTCCAGCTTGGTAAATATAAGTTTACCAGGGGTCAATAGACTTTACAACACATAATGATTTGGAATATAATTACTGTGTAAGGGGAGCCGTAAAAAAAAATGCCTTCAAAATAAAGCAAAGTTGTTTGTCAGTCCGACGCTGACCCCTGCCGTGTCAGTCTAAGTTACCGGAGTTCAGAGGGCAGATCATGTTGGCTGTTGTCAGCGTGACGCACCGACAGTTTATCAGCCTCCTTTGTACCTTTCTATAGTACACATGGCTGCTATTTGCCGAGTGGCTGGGGAGCAACAGTAAACTGCAGCCTCTACTTTTACTCAAGTCTTGTTGCAAATATGCGAGGCTATTCCAACACTGTCTGCTCTTTGGCACAGAATTTCACGGGAAATGCTCAAAACCTTTGAAATCACATTTAATCACACAGTCCTCACAATCTAGGAATGCGAGGCTTTGAACTTTAGAGTGCATGCTAAATACTTAATTAAAGAAAAATGAACAAATGAGTTTGAATTGACCACTCTACATGTTTTTTGGGTTATTAATGAAAATCACAGAAATCATAAAACGGCGCCCTTTAAAGCAGTGCTGCAAGTGGAAAGTCATAAACACATATTTTTTTTTTCTTTTTTAGGATAAAGATGAGAGTGACACTGGAGCCAATCTGGGTGAGTCCTTGTGAAAGCAGCAGAGACATGCATTATTCATAGAAAAACTGTGAATGTTAGTGCCTCTTTTCCTTGTTTCAGCACGCATTTTTTCCATTTGTCTTGCGATGCTAAATTTTTAACGTTTTCCCCACATCGCATTGATGTTGCATGTAATTAGTGACTTTGCAGCAAAATCACTCCTGACACCGCTGTGTTCGCAAATTAGAATACTTCAGATATGGAGGATTCAGCTGGGAGAGTGGGTCTGGGAGAAATATGCGAGTTGCCTAAATATTATATGCGCTTCCCCGGAAAAGTGACAAAATCATTTGAATTAACAGAAAAGATGCAAAAAGCTAATTGAAAACTCGTGGGTTATTTATACGCGCGTTTAGAAAAAAGCGCATGGTGTTTTCAGGAGCCGGATGTGTGCCCTCCGCCATCACGACACCGTATCCTGCGTGGAAAAAGAGCAGGAAACGCTGAAGTGCATATTTGATTTATTTATTTTCACCCAGACGGATACTCAGAGCTTTATACAGATTTTGCCATTTGGAGGCTGAAATAATGGATGGGGCGCTCATCCATTTTTAATTCCTCCATGTTGTGTGAAGGGTAAACATGTTGTTTGAGATGTCTTTTCTCTGCTGAACTGTGTTTTCTCATTATGAGACTGTGTATAGGGAGCAAAAACTAGTCACGAAAGTGCTTAAAGTGCGTCGCGACAAGTCATTGAAGGTGATTTTCGAATAATGCTCAGTCCCAAAAGCCACTTATGTCTGCATAGCCAAAAAATAATAGAAAAAAAAAGAGATGCCAGTGGTCCTCCTTGTTACATCACACATCAAGTGTGCAAAATCCCCACCTTTCTCTTTCAAAATAATATTTAGGGTGATTTTCCTCTAATACATTTGAAATATTCACTGATCTAAAGACAGGGATCTATGCGGACAGACCTTGCACCCATGGGAAGTTATTCTGTGACTAATACAGCGCAATGGTTTTCAGTTTGGACCCAGACACCAGCCCACAGATCCACTGATAATTTGGAATCATTTTTAATAAGTCGTAATTACACAGAGGGTCTGATTGTGCTCTGCAGCCCTTGAAAATGAAATATGTTACATGGGGGCCTGATGGTAAAGGATATTGCTTGCCGTTCATACATAATTGAGAGATCTTGAATGTCAAACCAGTGGGAGAAAATGCAACAGAAGCAACAGAACACCTCACCACAAAACTACACAGCATCGTCTCTACTCTGAGCCAGCCAGCAGAGAGGAACATGTGTTATGTGGTGTACCGAACTGCCCGGAGGAGGTGTACGTTGACAGGTTCTGTATTCAAGAGTGCTTTCCCAAATTGCTGCGCTTTATTTACACCTACTTTCTTTCCCGCGTCTTAAATAGAGGAAAAGGACATATTTTTACCAGTTCGTGCTCCACATAATAAACGTTAACTATATATTAGCACGAGAAGAACTCCCTCCCCACCACCACCTTTTTTTTTTTATTGCATTTAAAATTAAAAGAGGATGTTTACTTGATGAGAAATGTGAGTGTCTTTTGTCTGCCTCGTTTCCCTTCCGGTCTCTTTGTCTGTGTGGCTGATGGGCAGGAGGAAGAGAGTTGTCTCTAAACAGATAACCTGACTTTGTTAGTAAATGAAATACACAGGAGCTCGGGATGGGAGCTCTTTATTTCCTCCTCCTCTTCATAGATAAATGACTTGCTGTCTCCCAGGCAAAGAGCCATCTTTATATTTTTGACGTTTTTGTGTTTAATGCGTTGTAGATTTTATACGGCCCATCTTTATGCTCGCCATTTTTGCATTTTCTTTTAAAGCTCAAATGCAGTTATTGATGGCCCTGCCTCTAGTACATTATGCATTATTTGTTAGTAAGTACCATTTTTGCATATTGACTCTAACAAGAAAATGCATGTATGGAAATTCTAATATAAATTGACTTATATGTATAGGCTTAGACTGTGCCCACTAAGCTTTTCTGCAAATAATATATAGTCCTTTATGATGCTAATCCTGAAGAGCAGTCCTAAAGACTGCCGACTCGAAGGAGAGAAAAAAAAAAACCCAACCCGGACCTTTAGCTTTTAAAGACTTTTATCTTATATTACAGCAATGACAGCTTGCGCCTCTTTCTAAGGCTTTTATGCTTTGTTTCAAGAGGACCAGGAAGGGGGAAGAGAGATGTGTTAGGAGACAAAAGGTGATATTGATAAGGATGGAAGGTGCAGAGGAGTGTACTCCAGTGTAATGCAGCTTTATGATGCCCTTTTTCATTTAGCATGAATGGTTTTTATGATTCCATTTCTTGGGTGAACAGGGATGAAAGAGGGCTGAGGGTTTGAAACAGACAGAGGACACACAAGGATCACCCGAGGACGCTTTATCGTTTCGCTGTCAACACAAAAAACCGCTTTTACTTAAAATTGTCCCACCTACCCTCGCAACACAGACTCTTTAAAAGTGACATTCAGGCAAAGAAAACACACACACACACGCACACACATGAATGAATCTGGCTGTGAAATACACGTGTTTTCTTCCCAACAGCTCCTCCGTTGTAAAGCTGCTAATAAGCTGCTGCTGTATTCATCTCTTATTAGTAGTTTGCACATTTTGGTTAAGCAACCCAGTTATTACCTCATTATCAGCCTTTATTTTCTGGAGAATGTAGGAAAAACAAATAAATTCAAAGTCGAATCTTCACATTTAAC